GAATCTCTCTGGGCTGCAACTGTTGCAGATTAAAAATCAAAAATAAGTAGTTCCTCTGGATGGGTTCTTCTTTAGTGAAAGGTTTCGTCTCTCCTCCAAGAGACTTCTTCAGTCTGATGAGTTTCAGGTGAACTCAGCCTTATAAGCACTGCCTCCACATGGACAAACAGGTTAGTCACATGCAAAAGAAGGCCATTGCCTAACAATAGGCTTGATTAGCTCTGTTGTTCATAGAGAGTCATGTGCCCCATCACCTGACCCGTGCCGTGTTATGTGCATCTAGTGAGTCTAGGGGCTCGACGTCCCCTTGTTTTTGTCCCTTTTTCCCTCTTTGTGTTTGGTATCATTGGGGCCCTGATTCACACCTTTTGCTCACAGGGGGCTGAGTCATACTTGCAGTGACAGCATTGTAGGAGGAGGAAAACTGGACACGAAGGCCTCCACTTCTGTTTAATGGTGGACAGTTTTTTTCTTCACAAAGATGGCTTCCTTTACTCCTCTCTCAAACCAACGTTCCTCTCTATCAAGGATGAGAACATCTTCATCCCTGAAAAAGTGACCACTGGCCTGTAGATGAGTGTAAACTGCACTCTCTTGCATGTGACTAACCTGTTTGTCCATGTGGAGGCAGTGCTTATAAGGCAGAGTTCACCTGAAACTCATCAGACTGAAGAAGTCTCTTGGAGGAGGGACAAAACGTTTCACTAAAGAAGAATCCATCCAGAGGACCTACTTATTTTTTCTTTTTGATTGAGACTGAAACTATTTGAAGGACTGGATATGGCCTTTTATAATTGGTTTAAAAAGGAATTAGAAGTAAAACATCAGGTTTTCTTTCACTGTTGAAGATGACAACTAGAAGATCAGAGCTTCAAGGATCTTTAAACTGCAACCAGAAAACAAAGACATAATAATGTGGCAAGACAATGTGGAATGATAACAAGTAGCACGAAAATGACTAAATTGTTTTCCCTCCTTGAAGAGAACCTAAATTTATCACTATGTGAAACTCTCAAAGTCATTGTTGGATGTATGTCTGTAGCAGTCAGGCAGTAGTATCACAGCTAGTTGACATTAGCAAACAAAAAATGGTCGTAACTCTGTTTCATTTAAAGATATTGATGTAAAATGTATTGTAGGGGTTGCTGAAAGTCATCTCCAAAACATATGTTGGTGAGGTGGTGAAAATCAAGCATTTCTTCAACAAATGCTAAGTTTTAACTTTAAAATGAGCTACTACACCTTATTCTTTAAGTGTTTAGGTTTTATTTCTGAATCAGCAAAGCTTTTTCTCATGCCAATAAAATCAACTAAAATCTAATTAGATCCTTCTATTCTATTTCTAGAAATCAAATATTTAAAAAAATCTTTTTAGAGACAACTCTGGTTGAATAATTTTGTCTGGGAGGTTCTGGACTGATTGAAAGGACCAAAAACCAGCTAAAAAGTGGTCAGGAGTAGAGTTGTTTAGTAAAAGGAGCTTCAGTACTTATTGTTTAGGTTTGTTTAGGTTCTTTAGCTCAAGAAAACCACCACAACAGATCAGACCAGGTGTCAGGCTGACTGCTGGAATGGCAAGTGGTTTGTCAACCAGATGTGGGCCAGGTCTGGCTATGATGGCACTGTTTGTATGATGGCATTCTACAACTGGCCCAGTGTTTATTTGGTATTTGTGGTCCAAATCTGTCAGTACCACATTTGGCCAGGTTGTTGTTTGGCCAGTTGCTGCCAAACAACAACCTGGCCATGGTTTATGTGGGTGCTGATTTATTTGGGTGCTGGTTTATGTGGGTGCTGCCCATGTGTGGACCACCTCTGGCAAACTACATGTGGGCCACCAAAGGCCCATCATTCTTTGCTGTATCTGGGCCTAGTTTTACTTCTCAGGTCTGGACATGTTGGCCAAAACAATTTTGCTTTGTGGGACTGGTCAATCCTTTGTGAAAGAAAGTTAAATTATTCTATCCCACATTTAATTTTAACAATCAAATCTTTCAAGGCCGTGCTGGTACAGTTTTACTTATTGTAAATTATTCAAAAACAGTAGATGAGGTCATGACTGTACTGTAAATGTGGACCAATTGACCCTTTTTTTGTTTTTAGAAAAMGGTCAAAGAAATGAGTCAAGTAAAAAAAGGATTTTTGCTCAATTGAAAATTATCAAAATTTTAAAGGAAAACCAATAAAATTCATTCACTCTTTGTGTTCCTGTAGACAAAGCAGGACGGGTAGTGTACGTTGAAACTTTTGGACAACTAATGCTACAACTCTGTTCTGGAGACTGTGGTGTTTCAGAAATGTGTCAATGTGGCGAACAGCTTGACATTCAAAAAGACAAAAGATTTCATTTTGTATTTTTCCTACAACCACAATGACTCAAAAGTAATTTTTTTGGGGAACCTAAAAGTTCTCTTTCAATTAAAACAGTTGCTCCTATCTGCAATGAATCATTAGCCTTCTGCTTTCCACCCACCTACAGTCATGATTACTCTGCACAGAGCCTCTCCAAAGGGCCAGTGGACCAGCGCCAGCTGCAAGGCGATGAACGGCAGACACATCATGCACAGGACATCTGCCACCGCCAGGTTCAGGATGTAAATGTTGGTCACAGTCTTCATTTTGGCATAACGTAGGATGACGTAGATGACCAGGGTGTTGCCACATAATCCCACAGCACACACCATGAAGTAGATGAAGGTGATGACCACAGAGCTGGTCTTATCCTGGTGGGGCTCTTTGGGGTCTGGGTTGGTGTCATTTGGGTAGGAATCATTCCCTTGGATGTCATACAGGAGGGGCTCTGGGATTGAGATGTTAGGTGAAGTTGGAAGAAAGGACCACTGATCTAAGGCCATGACTTGTGTCAGTCAAATCTGAAATATTAGATGATAATGAGAGGGATGATCTGACCTTTAGTTTATAATTTACCAAACAAAGCTGAACAAAGAATGTTAAAGAACTTTCTAAAAAAATAGTCTTGGGTATTTAGAAATTTAAATTGTATGGGTTTGGGACACTGGGGATTGGAATGTCCAGGTATTATTATTAATATTATTATTTTTATCTACGGAGAGCCAAAGTTTTCACATTCTAGCGGTGAAGAGGCGGTCAAATCTCAAGACAAATCTAGAGAGAGAAAAACAAAAAAAAAACATGAAAAATTCATCTGAACAACAAAAGAGTATTCCCTTTGAGAAATAATAATAGTCCCTCAATAGCCATGGCAACAAACATTTTCACACCTTCAACCATACAAACATGTAAAGTGTTTTCTCCTGAGGATGCTCCAGATTGTGCCTCTGTAAGATCAATTTTTCTTTTCCATCACCCTTCCGGTCTTGTTCCTCTCACAGCAGACAGTAACGCGAAGGAGACAGCTTATTCCGAATTAAAGATGTGCAGTTTTGTAGAAAGAACAACTAAAAACTTTGGGCTATTTTGTTTTGCATTTTAGCCACACAGTTCCAAGCACACATGGTTCCTTGGTGTTATGTTCTGGCTGTTAAAGCTGAAATGGGCAAACATGGCATGAATAAAGTCATACTTGCTGTCAGATTCATTTGTATTCTACAGTTGGACACATTTCTGCTCGGTCCTTTCAGGGTTTCTGCTGTCCACTTTCTTCAGGCCTTAAATCCACTCTGCTGAGCCCAGTTTTCCAGTTTTTTTTTTTTTTTTTTTTGTGTGTGTGTGTGTGTGTGTGTGTGTGTGTGTGTGTGCGCATGCGCGCTTGTGTGCTTACAGCTTTGGTGACATTTGGGGGCAATTTTAAAACAAAAACCCTACATTTGGGGACAAAAGTGGAGTCCCCATTTGGTTTAAATACCATTGGTGGGTTGGGGGTTGGGTTTAGGACCAAGGTGTGAATTGAGTTTAGGTTAGTTTTAGGGTCAGGTAGGTACCTGTGAGCCTTACAGTTTGTGGTCAGGGTTAGGCTGTAGAAATGGAATGGAAGTCAATGGAATGTCCCCAATTGGATAGCTGTGCAAACGTGTGTGTGTGTGTGTGTGTGTGTGTGTGTGTGTGTGTGTGTGTGTGTGTGTGTGTGT